TTGAAATTGCAAAACCTTTCTGTAACAACCAGCTTGCTTTAGCTTTACTGAAGAGAGCTGGGGGATCCACACTAGTTCTCCCCCAAGATATATAATGGAATTCATTGGTTGATTGCTTTGAGCTATTTATTAAGAACTGGCCTATTCTGATGACTGTCTGTGAAGAAAGTCATGACCAAGCTAATGGAAGTATCACAGCTGGAGTAATCAACATTGGACTGAAGAGAAATGTAGAAGATATGCTGAATACACCAAAACCTATTTCCATAACCTTGAACAAACTACAGAAAGATTGCTGTTATACTGCTGATGCTGTTGAAATTTGGAAGGAATGTCAAAAAACATTAAAGCAAGAAATACCCAACAGCAAAATTGAATTGCAGGTAGTAAAGAAGTAGATGGATCAAGCGCTTACTCCACCTCATTTTCTTACCAGTATTCTTAACAAATTACCAGGGTAGATAACTAACGGCGTAAGAGGAAAATGTTGGTATGACATGGGCTCTACTACCTTTTTCGCATCCTTGTATGACAAGGTATTTAGCAGAATTCTCAGATTTGTTGGAATCTGACAGGGCTGTGCTGTAAGCTCTTCTACTATAGCCTCAAACCTGAAACCTTTGGGCTGCCAACTGTTCGTCTTAGCACCTATGCCACCCCATACTAATTGCCCATCACTCATCCATAATACATTTCAGGGCTAGAGAGGAACCATTCAAGGAGTATGTTTGCTGAGGATGTTTTAAAGTCACACCAGTGAACTGGTGCAAAGCACCTGGAACCAGAGTTTGCTAAAGTGCTAAATCAGCTTTTACCAGAAGTAGCTTCTTCTGCAGGTACAGAAAGAATGTTTTCTTCATTTGGACTGGTTCATTCAAAGCTGAGAAATTGATTGGGAATTGAAAAAGCAGGAAAGCTTGTTTTTTCACTTCTAGCATATTAATAAAAAGGGGAAGAAGGATGAGATTTACAACTTCTAAAAACTTGAAAGAAAGGGGGGACACATTTTCAAAACAGCCTAGGTAAAAAAGAAAAAAAAAGAAAAAAAACACTGTCATTTTAAAGCGCATTAGTCAAGTGGGCGCTTAAGCTCAAAGGACTTTCACTTGGGCATTTTAGAAAATTGTCCCCAGGGTAATCTAAAATAAATTGGTTTAATCCACTAACCACAGGTCATACTTATAATAGTTAATACTAGCGTTTAATAAATCAGTGGTGAATGTGCCCCATATTTTGATTTATTTTTATAGGTTGTTTAATAAATCTGAAGTGTTGGTTTTGTGTGTTTAATTAAACAAGTGGTGTCGGTTGTAGCCGTGTTGGTCTAAGGATATAGGCAGACAGGGTTCTTTGGGTGAATCTTATACCTTTTATTAGACCAACTTAAATAGTTGGAAAAAACATTTTAAAGCAAGCTTTCAGGTTCAAAAACCCTTTGTCAGGCTGAGGAAGTTTCTGCCGTTGGTGTGTGCTCTTTCTGGATGGAATGAAAAGTAAAGAAGCCAAAGGCACGGTTGGTATGCATACAAGACAGGCAGTCAGGATGTAGATTGAAGAGTCAGTGGGTGAGAGACAGGCTGGCTGGGGGGGAGTGAAGGGGGATGAATAGTGGAGGGGTACCTGGGGAGTCAGATGTCAGGCAGGTTATAATGTGTCATAAATCCAATGTCTATATTCCAGTGTCCATGATTTTTAGTATCCAGGAGGTTGATGAAGTGGAATTCATAGACTCATCTATGATTGAACTAATTAAATACAAGTTGTATCTTAATGCAGCAAAAGTTAATTTAGTGAATAAGAAATAGGTATTTTACCATCTTATAGCATAATAAAATGTAGCATTTCTAACAATCCAGATATGTTAAACTGTATATTTCTCATACTCTCACTTGCAGAGAAAGTTGGTAAAAATCAGTTATTTAAATTGGGCTCTTGGCTTGCTGATTTAAATCATGATTTAAATTGGTGATTTACACTGAGTTGATTTAAATCAATGAACTCTGGCTTGAATTTAATTGTGGACAAACCAGTACATATCTAGGGTCTCCTATGCTGAAGTCCCTGCCACTGCATCTTCTCTGCTAGTGTTACCTGATCTAGATTACTACTAATGCATGGTATAACTGAGAGGATGAGACTGAACTTTCCTCAATGAACAATAAGTGGATACTCTTTTAAGTAAATAGGTATAAAATTTGTTCTAGTGAAAACAAGTGCAGGCTAGTAATGTTAAATTGCTTACATTAAAATGACACGATAAAAGAATTCAGTTTTGGAAAAATATTTTCTACCAGTTGACTTCTGTATTAAATAAGTAATTTGCCTAGTATAGTTAAAGCCTAGTCTCCTGCCTTTTGGCAGCCAAACTGTTCTACAGATCAGTGTTTAACCTAAAATAATTTTTATATGGGAGATGGCTACGGCATAAGAAGTTGGACTGGACCAGGCAGCAGCAGGGCTGGAATGGTGGGATGCAGGGGTTTAATGCAACCATTGCTTGCCACCCCCCACTGCCAATGCATGTTTTTAATAGGCCTCCAAACATGGTAGTGGGCCCTGTCCCTGCTCATCCTGCTGCTGAATTCTTGGCCCCTCCAGAAGCTCCACTGGCTGGGTGAAACAGCTTCATCTCTGACCCTGGACTAGGGAGAAATAATGTTAACTTCCTGTACAGATGCTGCTAATTTGCCCAGTTTGAAAGACTTGTTGCTATTCCTGCTTCCTTTTTGGGTCCTAATCTTTGCTTGTGCCCCTCTTGATCCTTTTTTTCCCCCCACTGCTTGTCTTCCTGCAATTAAAGCTGATACAGAAAAGTTTGTCAGTGTCATTTCTTGTTATGATTCACAGGTGCAAAGCCATTAGAGCCACATTAATTCAGGCAGTGGATAAAAAATATACTAAGGAACCTAGGTGTTGCAGGTAATGCTAAAGAGTACAAAATGAATACTACTTCTTTCCTTTAAACTTTGTACATGCAGAAGTGTCAAACTAAAGTGTGGAAAGGGAGGGGATTCTTCTCTAGTTTCAAATCATAATGTAGGTGGTAGTGATGCACAGTACGCTAGGCAGTTTACAGACATATGAGAGTTTAAAAAGATAAAGATTTTCCTTTTTGTTATCCACAGTAGCTTCTCTGCCTAGTCATTTTTTAACATATTTACTATTTGTGTTTCTTAACTACTTCAGTGTACTAAAACTTTGTCTAAATATCGTTTTGTATCCTAGTGTGTTCTGGGTATTTTAACTTCATACATTAAAAGATAATTCTAATTAATTATGGCAGAATAAGAAATAATATTAACCTGTTAGCTGTAATGCTGTCTCTTCCACTTGTTATTCTCTTCTATTTATCATAAAGAAATGTGCTTGAGACTGATGGCAGAATGACAGCCCAATTATTGTTTTACCTCCCTCCCTTGAGTCAACAGAGATATAACTGATTCCCCACTCCATCCCCATTCAAGTTTATTCTTGTTCTAAATGTATGTGATATCATTATCCAAGCTCTGAGGGAGATCCGTGATGTCAGTTTTGCATGGGCAGGCTACTAAGGGGTACTTAACTCTTAGATACTGGAGTCTTCATAAGATACCACCCCAAGAACTGATAATAGCTAATGCATTCTTCCAGTTGTCCCAGAAAGTCATCCTGACTTCTCTTATCCCTTGTCTGCATCATCACCTCGATTCAACCGCCATTTCAAAATTAGCATCAAAGCTTCTTAACTTTTTCTGTCACTCTGTATAGGCATCTTTCTTAATTCCTCTGTTGTGTGCTAGTAGTGTTGGTGACAAGTCTTTTCCTTGCCTGCATTAACATTTAGTGTGTGCTACAGCTTTTGGAACTTCAGCAATAGGAGATTTCAAGAAAGACGGTGTAGAGAAATTCCTTACCCACCAGGCCCTTTTCTTGCGTAGACTGTGTTAGGCCTTGCTTTGCTGCTAGCTGGCTGAAAGGCAGTTGGCTTAAATTCTAGTGCACAATTATAGCTCTCCAAAAAGTCTTACTTTTTTTCTATTTTGCAATGAGAAGTGCTAAGGAACCATAATACACGAAGCTGCTGCTGTTCCCTGTAGAGTGAATCTGTTTCTTTTCCATTGTTTCCAGCTCAAACCCTGCAATGGGAGCAGAGTACCACTAGGATCCATGGGACGTGCCTGCCTGTTGGAGGGAGTGGGAAAATAAATGTTGTGAACGGAATGAGGTGGAGGGGAATTGTCTTGTGGGAATTTGATGGAACAGACTTTGTGTTCTTATTTAAAAAGACTGTCCACAGTGCATCAATAAGCAGGATTTAAGTTGGAGTGTTAAAGTGTAAGAAGAGAAACCTGGAAATAGGAGGAGTTTCTTCAAAGAGAACAGAAGCACCATTAAAAACTTACTCCATTCCAGGACTCTACATCTGGCTAATGATGAGGATTTGTAGTCTTTAGAATGAACACACTATTTAACTGCCCCCTTTGTGAACTATCCAGTGATAAATAATTTGAATAAAATGATTAGTTTATCTGTATTCAGGGAGGCTTAGTAACCTTTATACTTTTAAAATGTCCTATGCTGATCATCCTTTCAATTAAAGTATACTCATACTGGATTTTTTTGTGGTCAATGACTTTGTTTGGTCACTCTTTTTCCTCTTTTTCATGTCTCTTATCTGCCACTATTGCTGTCTAATGATTCATTATCATTTCTTATAATGGCTGCTGATTCATGTTCTGGCATCAGATTTCTAGAAATATGAATCCTAGTTCTTTCACAAAATACGTTTGTGCAATGGTCCTCCGAGTCTAATTTTTTAGGCCATTTTGCAAAAGAGTGCCTATATCTGTATATCCAGTATTTCCTTGCTGAGTTCTGTGGGTAGCAAGCTATGTATATTACTAGTACTCCTGGCACTGTAACATGGGATTATAAATTAAAAGTTTTGGGTTTTTTTCCATGCATTACTATTTGCTTTGAAAATATTAGCCTAATACAAGCCTTTCTTCTTTGCTTTCTAGGTTTTAACAACCATCCGCTCGGGACACAGAGCTAATATTTTTAGTGCAAAATTCTTACCATGCACCAATGACAAACAGATTGTGTCCTGTTCTGGAGATGGAGTAATTTTTTATACTAACGTTGAGCAAGATGCCGAGACGAACAGGCAGTGCCAGTATACGTGCCACTACGGAACTACCTATGAGGTACTGTACTTCTGCTTGAAAGTTCAAGGTCTCTTTAATATTTGGAGAATAGAAGTTTGGTGTTGGTACTAGCCAAGATTTCAGTCAGACAATGACAGCTTTATTTCTATGCTTCACTGTTATATATACTAATTTTCCTTTGCTTCTAGCTTTCAGAGGTTGTTCATGGTATTTGCTTTAGTACTGAAATATGTTACCTTAATGAAGGATTCTCAGAAGTTATGTATTGGTATCATTAAGGCTGCTTTTCCTGCAAAGTGAAGTATCTAGCAGTATGCATATGCTTGTACTGTATAAAGGGATCTCACCTCAATATCAAGGCCTCATGATTTGTTTTCTTTAAGGAAGAGGGAAATACAAACTTTTTATTGAGCTGTAGGTGGTCTGGTGCAGAGGAAGGTAATCTGTGGTAGGTTTATGCTGTCAGTGGAATAAGAGGGCAGACTCGTACTTATTTTTCAAAACTTTAAATTTCCAGACTTCTAAGCCTTTTCTTATAAACATAAACTTTACCAAAAATGTCCTAACTTTTTTTTACATTTTTTAGCTTGAAGTTATTGTCTGCCTTTACAGAAGTTAAGAATTTCTTAGTGAAATTTTTGTGTGTAGAAATAATCTTCAGTATTCCTTAGTAATACCCTATTTACCTGCATACCAAATGCACCCTTCTCCAAAAATCAGCCCTCTAAACTTAGGGTGCATGTCTTAAAATGGGAAAGCTGATTTTTCTTTGCTGGAACAGAAGCATTGAGACAATGCTTCAAGATGGCTGCCAGGCTTCCCCTTTGCCAGGGAGGGAGGGGAACAAGTTTAGCCTTCAGGGTTAACCCTTCCACAGTCCCAGCTGCAGTTAGGATCCCCTGCAGTCAACGTTCAGCAATGATTAGAAAAACTTTTTTTTTCTTCATTCTGGCTTCCCAAAACCACAGGTATATCTTATCTGGGGCATGTGAGAAAATATCCGCCGTTATTTATTACATAAAGAAAGTAAGCCTGACTGTTAAGGTTATTTATAACTCAGTGGGAAAGCTAGTGGGTAAATTCAAAAGTGCATTAAACTAGGAGTCTCACAGTTCACTAGACAGATTGCTTCTTTTGTGCCCTGGGCCACTGGTAGAAGTTAAAAAAGAAGGTGGTATGGGATCTAATGTGTGATCCCAACAATCACGCTTCTTGCCATGTGATGCAACCATGCACACAAGAGCACTGGCCACATGTTCAGTCAAAGGTGTGATGGAAATCAGCAACAAAGTTATTATGCATGTTTTCTTCAATAACTTTGTCACATTCCTTGTTTTATCACACTATTCATGGAATGAATGTGTGGCCAGGTTACTACTTAAGGTGTGATTAACCAGTTAAGTATGTCTTAAGTGTAACATGTATCAGCATCATTAGTGACATAGCCCATATGCTATGTTTTACAAAGATTGTTGAAAATGTAATTTTCATCTTGGGGTTGCTAATGTTCTGTATTATATTTTCAAATAATTATGTGAATGATCTAGCTCTGAATTTCTAACATAAGTTTTGGTAAGTCCGTTGCTTTTTATATAGAGTAGACAGAAGAATCATGCAATTTCCATTTTCTTTGTGTGGTTTTTTTAATGTTAATATGTTTCATTTGTGTATGTTGTAAAGGAACATGTCTAAAGAGCTCTCAGAATTAATTTCTTGTTATGTGGTTTAAAAAAAAAAGTCCTTAACAGTGTATGTCTATATCCAGTTAAAGGATGTGCCAGGAACAGTTGCTAGCCACAGGATAATGATTCCTTAAGAGGGATGCAGGGCCACCTAAAGAGCTCATTTTATGTATGTACACATCCTTTGTCTCTGGATGCTGCTTCAGGTCAATAGTTTAGATACTGTTTGTTGGATTTGCTAAAGATCGTTCTAGATCTCTTCTTATTTATTGTTTATTTTTTTAAAGGTGTACTTTTATTTTAACCCGGAAGGTATTGTTTCCCTTGAGCAACGTTCATCTTTTGATTGAGAGAGATAAGGACTTACTCTTTTTAAACTGCATCAAATCTCAGCACATTCGCTATAAGATGTTTGTGGCTTTTTTATCTAGCTCCTGACTGAATAGCATGAGGTTTTTTATCCTAATTTCACTCTGTTGTATGCGAGAGGATAGTATAACCTGTTGTTGCAACTTCTTTTTTTAATAAGACTATCCGATGATTGAGACAGCAGTTACTAAATGTTGCATCTCCTGAATAATACAATTTACTACTGAGCAATAGGATGCATACTGTAATACTAGGTCCTGATTCTCCCATGGTAGAGGGTGTTAGCAGTAACAATGCTGTATGTCTATTTTGTTAACTCATGAGCGTTATTGGGTAATGTAATATTTCTATATAGAAAAGGCTGGGTTTTTTTTCTTTGCAAGAGAAAACAAGATGGTTGAAGACTATTCTAGGAGAAAAAAGGATGGTCAAGCACTAAACTAAGAAATCTAGGGCAGGGAGCCTGCCCCTTGGATGTAAATTTGTAGGCATGTAGTTATAGGTGCAGAAGCAATTCAGCTCCACATTCAGCCAGTGATCACAGAAATTGTGGGATGCAGAAAGTGTCAGAAGAAAACAGTTTGAAGAATGACTTATGAATATGGCAGGGTTGATTCTGCTGGAAAACTGAACCAGCCTAATAAATGTCATCCTGTATCAATTAGCAAAAGACTCCAAATCTGCTTCAAGTACCTCATTCAATAGCACAAAAACTTCACTAGGCAGTATTGTAGGTCTAGCTGTCTTTCTTGAGTTCTGGTTTTCTAGTACGCTGGGGTTTTTAAGTCTGATGTGTTTCTGGAGTCTTTGATTTTGAAATATATATCTTCATTATGTGATTATGCTAGCCATTTGTTAAGAAAATGATTCTCAACCAGGGTGCCATCTATAGTATTAAAAAATGCTGACCTTTTGGGCACATTACCCCCCTATATATCAATAGATATATATCTATATCTATATATGTGTGAGTGAGTGAGTGAGTAGTGGTATATTTACAATGTTAAAGCAATTTGGAAGTCTACCAGTGTCTCTATCATCATAAGTGTCAATAAACCGGAGCTGGTGAGCCACGCTCACGGTATTGGTCATGGTGGTGCGGCTGGGTGGTGGCAATTGGAACGAACAGGCGGGATTATCGGCGGTGGAGTGTGAGCTGCACGGAACGCACGTATGTATAAGTTGAAACAGGTGATTTATTTACTCACGCTTGGCAGCGGAGGCCCAGATGATTTCTTCAGTTATGGAACGAATAAACAGACAAACAACAAAGGGGGTCTGTTGGCCCACGAGGTTTGCCAGTGAGCCCTTGCTATCTACCCGCTAGGGATAGGGGCGGCTGCCCGCTGGCTAGTCCCAGGGCTGGTCAACAGCTCATGAAATGGGGTTACCAACAAACGAAACTGTAACGCGAGGGACGATGAACCGAGGATCGAACTGGAAATGTGACGCCAGTCCAAAAGGCAGTCCGTAATCAAGAAGAACGAAGAAGACAAAGCTGAAGTCGGAGATGAGAGCCGAGGTCAGGAGCCAAACGGATAAGCATGGAGTTGTTGCCGAGGTAACGGGGACGATCCAAACTCGTAATTAGAGTCCAGGCCAAAACAGTCCAGTAACCGAAGATATCAATGTGAAGAAGACCGAGACCGAAAAGACAAGTCACACTCTCAC